GTGGGGGGGGAGGATCTGTGCCTGGCCCCTGACAGCACTTGAGTCAGGGGGGTTTTCGCAAGGGGTGCGCGGGGGGTCCCAGAACTCCCCTTGCCCTTGTTCACGTGCTCCAGCTCTTGCAGGCGCTCGGGGGCTTGTAAAGAGTCTTTAATCCGTTAGGCCCAGAACCTCAACAGTATTTCGGCTCCTGCATTCCACTGCTAGAAAGCCTCCAGCCGTGGAGTCTGAAAGAGATTCCAGGCGCCTGACCCGCGGGGCTTGGGGTGTGGATGCAGGTCCTCCTTGTCCTCCACCCCCAAGCTCAGGGGAGGGTCACGGCCCCACCAAACGGTGACCGGGGCTGTTTCCCTTCCAGGGTGAGCATCCGCCGGTGGCAACAGGCGCGTCACGGGAGTTAGGAACGCAGGGAGGGTCCGCGATGGCGACGTTGCTTTGTAATTGCACAGATCTATATAAAGTTCCAGGTCAGCGTGTGTCCGTGGGCTACTCGCCCAAGCGTAGGCATTGGGGCTTTCCACCCTGGCATGACTGACGTGGGGGGAGCCGGTCCTTGGGCTCCCCTTGTGCAATAGGGGTTGGTTTGTTAGGGGATTGTGTTGTCAGCGGTTGGGCTGGTTCCACACTGCAAGCAGCTTTTAGTCTCTGCAAGCAAAGGACACTGGCTTGGCACAACACGAGACCCGGACGGGGCCTGGCCTGGGAACGTGGTGCATGTCAGGGGCATTACACCCCACTGTGGGGTGCGCCTGGGGCTCATTTCAGGTTTCTCTGCTTTTCTCGTGGGGGTGGATGAAAGAGCCCCTTGCACTGAGGATGGGCGCCCCATTTGTGGCACAAGGCAGTGCTGTGCATGCAGAGTGGTGCCAACCCCGAGTGCTCAAAACGCATGAGTCAGACCTCCCCCCAAACCCTCTTAAAACTCTTCTTGGAAACATTAATTTGGGCCTGGCGTGCCCACGCAGGCCGCGCGTCAAGCTGTCCTCAGCCGCCGGCAGGGCCAGCAGCTTTATTTGCAGCCAGATCTGAGCGTCTCCTCTCGTCACGGGAGGGGAGGAGCTGGGGCTTCCCCAAACCACCAGATCTTACGAGATTTGCAACTTAAAAATCACAAGCGTTGGCAACACCAAGACGACGCTTCTTTGGGTCTTTGTTGGCTGCTCTGCCTTCTCCCTCCTGTTCTCCCGTCACACTGGGGCCATCGCCCCCGCCTTCTCCCTCCTGTTCTCCCGTCACACTGGGGCCATCGCCCCCGCCTTCTCCCTCCTGTTCTCCCGTCACACTGGGGCCATCGCCCCCGCCTTCTCCCTCCTGTTCTCCCGTCACACTGGGGCCATCGCCCCCGCCTTCTCCCTCCTGTTCTCCCGTCACACTGGGGCCATCGCCCCCGCCTTCTCCCTCCTGTTCTCCCGTCACACTGGGGCCATCGCCCCCGCCTTCTCCCTCCTGTTCTCCCGTCACACTGGGGCCATCGCCCCCGCCTTCTCCCTCCTGTTCTCCCGTCACACTGGGGCCATCGCCCCCGCCTTCTCCCTCCTGTTCTCCCGTCACACTGGGGCCATCGCCCCCGCCTTCTCCCTCCTGTTCTCCCGTCACACTGGGGCCATCGCCCCCGCCTTCTCCCTCCTGTTCTCCCGTCACACTGGGGCCATCGCCCCCGCCTTCTCCCTCCTGTTCTCCCGTCACACTGGGGCCATCGCCCCCGCCTTCTCCCTCCTGTTCTCCCGTCACACTGGGGCCATCGCCCCCGCCTTCTCCCTCCTGTTCTCCCGTCACACTGGGGCCATCGCCCCCGCCTTCTCCCTCCTGTTCTCCCGTCACACTGGGGCCATCGCCCCCGCCTTCTCCCTCCTGTTCTCCCGTCACACTGGGGCCATCGCCCCCGCCTTCTCCCTCCTGTTCTCCCGTCACACTGGGGCCATCGCCCCCGCCTTCTCCCTCCTGTTCTCCCGTCACACTGGGGCCATCGCCCCCGCCTTCTCCCTCCTGTTCTCCCGTCACACTGGGGCCATCGCCCCCGCCTTCTCCCTCCTGTTCTCCCGTCACACTGGGGCCATCGCCCCCGCCTTCTCCCTCCTGTTCTCCCGTCACACTGGGGCCATCGCCCCCGCCTTCTCCCTCCTGTTCTCCCGTCACACTGGGGCCATCGCCCCCGCCTTCTCCCTCCTGTTCTCCCGTCACACTGGGGCCATCTCACCCACCTTCTCCCTGGCTGCCCCCCGATTTCTCCCCCTCTCCTCTCCCAGCAGCTCTTTAAAGTGGAGCCGGAAGTGCACTCAGATGCCCAGCTGTTGTCATTTGGAATGACCCACACTGGGTTTGCCCTAGTTTCATCAGGCCCGGCGACTCCTGTAGCAACAGGGCCACGCATGCATGTCTGAGGGAACTGGTCATCAGCTCGCCCAGCAACAGCCTGTTCTGGGGACAAACCCCTCCCTGTAACGCAGACTAACCGAGCAGCAAATCCGCCCCCGCAGCACCGTTTCTGCTTCCCCCGCCTCCCCATGATGATGCACTAGAGACTCACGCCTCCCTTCCTTCCCCAGGTGAAAATCTGGTTCCAGAACCGGAGATCCAAGTTCAAGAAGCTCTACAAAAACGGCGAGGTGCCGCTGGAACACAGCCCCAACAACAGCGACTCCATGGCCTGCAATTCGCCTCCCTCGCCGGCCGTCTGGGACAGTAACTCTCACAGCAACCCCCCGGGCAGGAACCCGCTCTCCCAGCCGCTCCCCTACAGCCCCTCCCCAAGCTACATGGAGGAGCACAACTCCTGGTACCACCAGAACCTCAGCGGGTCACATCTGCAGCATCAAGCGCTGCCCACGAACGCCATGCACCACGCCTCGCCCGGGCCACCGCCCACCCCGGGGGCCGTGTACTGACCTCCAGCCCCCTCGCACCCGGGGAGCAAGAAAGGAAAGGGCCGCCGCCGTGGCCAGGGGGCTTGTTCCCAGGACAAAGGCAGACACGCACCAACACTGCAGCCTGTCTCTGGAGCAGCAGGGCAGCAGCAGGTTCAAATGCCCGGCGGACGATCCCCAAGTGAGGGAACCGTGGTGGCAGGTTGTGGGGGAGGGCTGGGGAAGATGGCCTGGATTTTCGTTTTTTCGGTGAAGATTCAGAATGGGCAATTCCTTTTCACCTGACCCCACCTCCCACGAGGTCCCCCACACCTGCTGCACCCCCAGCCCCCCACGGCCGCCCAGGACCGTGCCTGGGAAGACTCTTCCGTGTGGAGCTCTCTGGCAGGGACTCGCCTCTCGCCTGGACAGAGGCCAAGACACTGCACATCTCCAGCGTCCAAGAACAGCACAACTGGTTTTTTCACCTTCCTGGGCGAGCTGTTTGTGGGGTGTCTCCCTGAGGACTCTGGAAGCACATCTCAGCTGGCAGGACTTCAAAAAAACCACTTGGCTCCCGCCGCATCAGGGTGGGTTGTGTCTCTCCGCCCAAGGGAGCAAGAAGGAAACAAATATAATTCTGCGTCTGCGTCCTCCCTCTCCTCCACCCTTGCGAGGGTCTGGCTGGAGCTGAAAGCACAATTTAAGCTAAAAAAACCTCAGTGAGAGGTGCCACACTTTGTAGTGTTTTAAAGTCTCTCTGCTCGAAATCATTCAAGACAAATCTTAGCTCTGTCTCTTGTACAGGACTGGACAGTCTATAGACGGGACCATTGTTAGAGAGGCCCAAGAGACTCATAGTGGGGAAAGGCTAAATTCTGATCTCATGTGCACCAGTTTAAATCTCGCACTACACCAGATCAACACCAGTGTTACTCCAGGTCTACAGAGGAGAATTTTGGCTCTCTGTGTTCGAACATCCGCTGGTGTAAACAGGAGTTCAACACTCTCAGTAGTGGCTGAGGGCCAGATTCTGACCTGGGTCACACTGGTGTAAATTCAGAGTTATTCCAAGCTGAGAGGCAAATTTTGCCCCTCCAGGCCAGACCGTCACCTGGGGTAACTCTTCATTGGCATTGGTGGGGGCCACACAGCTTTCTGCAAGTTGAGGTCTGACCTTCTGTTAAGAGTCTCAGAAAATAAATCGTGGTTATTTTTTAAAAAATGCAAAAAAATATTTAAAGTGTTTCGGGAATGATTTAAGTTATTTTGAAAAAGAAAATGACACTATTAATGGCTTAAGTTTTCTAACCGTGCTCTCCACATGCCAGTTAAGCTAATGTCAAAGTAGATGCCTATTTTTTGACAAAACAACCATCAAAAGAAGAAAAAAAAGTTCTCAATTTTTTAAAATAGTATTTTTTTAAAGCTGCAGTTTTAAGAAGTGTTCTCATGTGCTGTACAGTCCCAAGATTCCTATTTATGTTGCCTTGTACAAATAAGGGGAGACGGGGGAAAGCGAATTGTACATAAGGTCTGTGTGTATAAAGCGGATCAAAGCAGAGTTTTCTTTAACCTGGCTGGGGGGGGGGGGAGAGTTCCCTTCAGCATCAGGGCTTTGCTCCAACTTCCTTTCTGTTTTGTTAGGGGAGAAAACTGTATATAGAGTGTTAATAAAAGTACTTTGAATTGAAGCTGGTCCAATTTGGTTTTTGAATCTCTGTGGAAAGGATAGTGATAGAAATGTAGCCGTGTTAGTCTGGGGTAGCTGAAGCAAAATGCAGGACTATGTAGCACTTTAAAGACTAACAAGATGGTTTATTAGATGATGAGCTTTCGTGGGCCAGACCCTGGCCTCCGGAAAGATTTTGTGTGGCAGTGATGCATCGATTTGGATGACACCTTGTTTGCTGTTGGAATCGTCTCCGGGAGGGTCCTTAAGAGACTTGGATTTAGAAGGAGGCGAGGGGTGGGAATGCCGTGGAAGGTCTATCGACCGTGATTAGGCTCAATCCAGGAGCAACTGAGAAACTCTGTGGCACACGAGAAGTCAGACGGGAGGGTTTCATGGTCTCCTTCTTGGCTTTTAAAACTCTAGGAATCCACTGGATGCGACCCCGACCCTGCAGACACTGAAATTCATGCTTAACTCTATGCATGTGCCTGGTCTTATTGACTTGCATGAGCTTCATCTATGTTTATAGTGAAGCTAAGCATGTGTGCCAGATCGGGGCCTTTAACAACGCTGGAGCACATCCTCAATGAACAGGCCTCTCTCCCGGAGAAGGTGACCCCTTCAGAGCCCAGATGCAGTCAGACAAAAAATTAGCAGGAGCAAGGAAGAGTTCAGGTGCGAATGAACATTGAACATCCCCACACACATACACGTCTCCTATCCCTATAGCTACCTCCCAGCAGGCAGAGCTGCATGGCTTTCAGCATGGCAGTAGCAGATGAAAGCCAGGATGGAATAACCCTACACAGACAAACTGAGAGCTGGATAATGTCACTGCACCTCATTGCACCAGGCCCAAATTTGCACAGAGTGTTCTAAGCCATCTTGAATTCTGTTCTGTCTTCCCCTGGGAGCTCGTGGCCTGGTCTGGCCACGGGAAGGGTGGACCAGTTGCTAAATAAACGTTGGTGTTTGAGTAACTTCTACTGATCGGACTGGCCAGGAGCGTCAAAAGATTCCAGCACCTGTGGCTTTCCCAAGCTCACCGTACCCCGATGTGCTGGACTCTTTGGACAATTGGCAGGTAAGAGCTCAGCTCTCAGGCTGTCTCCAGCTGGGGGTGAGGTGCCACTGAGCTTTTTTAAAAGTTTGGCCCATTGTGTCCATGAAGAAACTCCTTGGAGACCACAAGTTTCTCTGAAGCCATTTTGGGGGGAGAAGGGGGAGAGCCAGGAGTGCATGTAAAGTAATCCGAATAGAGCCCATTAAACAGGATCTGCAGAAAAGCAGCTACATTTTCTTGTGTTCGAAATCAGACTCACAGAACACAAGAACTGGAAGGGAACCTGAGAGGCCATCAAGTCCAGTCCCCTGCCCTCATGGCAGGACCAAGCACCGTCTAGACCATCCCTGACAGGTGTCTGTCTAACCTCCTCTTCAATAGCTCCAGTGACGGAGATTCCACAACCTCCCTAGGCAATTTATTCCAGTGTTGAACCACCCTGACCAGTAGGAAGTTTCTCCTAATGTCCAACCCATTGCTTCTCATCCTGTCCTCAGAGTTTACGGAGAACATTTTTTCCCCTCCTCCTTGTAACACCCTTTTAGGTACTTGAAATCGCTTGGTTCTCCTTGTACTTCCTTCACAGTGCATTCCAGTCGGGAGAGATGCTCCAACCCCACAGCAAGCGGGCACATGGCTGGAATCAGGGAGGCAGAAATCCTGCCCCATTAAGAGACGTCTTTGATAAGATCTGTGGCTGTTGAGTAACAACTTTAGAAGGGGCTGTGGTCCTGGTGATTGGCGGGAGGGAGCTGGGAAGCCCAAACGTCTAATTGCAGCTCTGCCAGCGCCAACCTGTCTCCTGGGTTAAGTCATTTCACCTCTCTGTGCGTCAGTCCTCACAGCTGTGCAATGGGGGAGCACCGTGGGTGTCCCGGGGGGCATTAGACGAGGGTCTCCCCATGGCAAGCCTGTGTGTCTAACATCACATGTGCGGCTGCAGCGAGAACATCTGTGCGTCCAAAGGCACGGAAGCGTTTGCAGGACCAGGGCTCTACGTTGTAAAGCCCCTGAGGAATTAGCAGGCCTGGCACCATAGCATTCGGGGAAGATGCATTACGAAAAGGCACCCAAGGAGTTAACAACCCGTCAGGGGCTCTGAGCCTCGGATCCCGAGCAAGAGGCAAACTAAAAGGTTTCATAAGCGCCTAGGAATGGCCCGACCGGGTCAGACCAAAGGCCCATCCAGCCCCAGCGGGAACGAGCAGAACAGAACAGGGAATCGTCAATGATCAGTCCCCTGTCGCCCATTCCCAGCCTCTGACAAACAGGCTAGAGACACCCTCCCTGGCTAATCGCCATTGGATGGACCTGTCCTCCATGCATTTATCTAGCTCTCTTCTAGAGCCTTGTGAGCCGTAGCGGGGGGTGTCTGCTCTGCAACTGGGGTTCCCCTGCGCTGGGCTGTGAGATTCCCACTGACTCACCCACACGTGGATTGGCCCAGCCTGAGCAGTGAGCAAAGCTCTTCCCAGGGGGAGAGGAAAGAAGGGAGGTGGAGACGGCCACCTGGCTGGGAGCAGGGTCTGGGAGCGAGGCAGTTTCTGGCTGGGAAACATGAAGGGAACAGACTAAGCTGAGTGCTGAGGGGGTGATGGACCCCCTAACCCAACGGGTCTGAGGCATCCTGGCCCTGACTCCTGTAGCCACATCACGTCTGTGCTGGGCTGTATCCTGGAGACGCAATAAACCCTCCTGTTCTACTGGCTGGCAGAGTCTGTTCGGGCTGCTATGGGAGTGCAGGATGGGGGGGAACCCCAATGTGCCGTCACACTTTGGCCTACATACCATCCTCTGGCAAGGAGTTCCACAGGTTGGCAGTGTGTTGTATGAAGAAATATGTCCTTGTGTTTGTTTTAAACCTGCTACCTGCTAATTTCATTTGGTGACCCCTAGTCCTTGTGTTATGAGACGTAATTAACACTTCATTATTGTTGCTGTAACGATTATACCGCTGTCTTTCTAATGTCTTGCTTCCAAAAACACGGACACACTTTGCAAGAGAGGGTCTTTGATTTACAAAGGTGGAGTCAGAAGCAGTTTTCTGCATTTTTATGTCCCCACACAGCCACCTACTGCCTGCTCCTCGGAGGTGCTGAGCACCCTGGATGCCAAGACAAGCTCTGGCTACTGTGCTTGGCCCATCCAGAAAGGCCAGCAGTGCCCCACCTTGTAAGCAGTGAAGGACATTTTTAAAGTGATATTCCTTGATTACAGTGTTGCCTTTGGGTTTGACACGGGGCTGGGGAAAAGCCAGAAAGCAGAGATTCTGTTTTGCTTGCCTCGCTTCCCCCAGACCCAGGCGTCATACTGGCCATATTTTGTGGCTTGGAGTCCTATTGCGACGTGTCTCTTAATGGACACGCTCGTGTACTACCCAAACCTCTGGCAGTTAGCCCGAGTCAGTGGCACTCGGCTGATGAAAGGGTTCCTGCCCCGTCCCCCCAGGTGGGTGGGCCTGAATGTGCACGTGACAAGTCACGCAGAGCAGAGCTCCCCTGGTGCCGTTTCCAGGGGGAAGGCTGGGATGCGTCACCCTTCCCTGCGAAGGCGTTTGCATTGAGTAACCGCTCTGGAGTACTCCGAGCCAGCATCGGGATTGGAACCTGGCACTTTCCGTCAGTGGCGTGCAAAGTGCTTTCAGCGAGAGGAGAGGGTCATAACTGAAAATGATCTGGACAAACTGGAGAAATGGTCAGAGGTCACGAGGATGAAGTTTAATAAAGACAAATGCAAAGTGCTCCGCTTAGGAAGGAACAATCAGTTTCACACATACAGGATGGGAAGCGACTGTCTAGGAAGGAGCACGGCGGAAAGGGATCTAGGGGTCATAGTGGACCACAAGCTGAATATGAGTCAGCAGTGTGACGCTGTTGCAAAAAAAGCAAACATGATTCTGGGCTGCATTAACAGGAGTGTTGTGAGCAAGACACGAGAAGTCATTCTTCCGCTCTGCTCTGTGCTGGTTAGGCCTCAGCTGGAGTCTTGTGTCCAGTTCTGGGCATCGCATTTCAAGAAAGATGTGGAGAAATTGGAGAAGGTCTAAAGAAGAGCAACAAGAATGATTAAAGATCTAGAGAACATGACCTATGAAGGAAGACTGAAGGAACTGGGCTTGTTTAATTTGGAAGAGAGAAGACTGAGAGGGGACATGATAGCGGTTTTTAGGTATCTAAAAGGGTGTCATAAGAAGGAGGGAGAAAAATTGTTCTTCCTTGGCCTCTGAGGATAGGACAAGAAGCAAGGGGCTTAAACAGCAGCCAGGGAGGTTTAGGTTGGACATTAGGAAAAAGTTCCTAACCGTCAGGGTGGTTAAACACTGGAATAAATTGCCCAGGGAGGTTGTGGAATCCCCATCTCTGGAGATATTGAAGAGCAGGTTAGATAAATGTCTATCAGGGATGGTCTAGACAGTATTTGGTCCTGCCATGAGGGCAGGGGACTGGACTCAATGACTCTTGAGGTCCCTTCCAGTCCTAGTGGTCTATAATTTTATGATTCTATAAGATGGGGAAACTGAGGCACTGCGCTGCAAAGTGACTCCTAGCCTCTGTTTGTCTGGAGGTGGGTGACAGGGGAGGGATCATGGGAGGATTCTGTTCCCTCCCTCTGGGGCATCTGGCACTGACCACTGTGGGCAGACCGGACCCTGGGTTGGATGGACAGTTGGTCTCTGCCGCTTTTACATTCTCATGCAACATTACCCAGTAGGCCAGGAGCAGAAGCCAGGTCCCAGGCCAGGCCCCCTGCCCAGGAGGCCTTGCTGCATGTCCGTGCAGCGCTTTGCACGGCGGGGCCTGATTTCTCACTAGCATCTCAGAGTGCCGCTCCCCCCCATCCACGCACACGGCAGCGCAGGCCTCGGGCCCCACGCCCGCTGCTTTCCCAGGCTCCTCCGGCTCCCTCTCGATAGCAGCAGGCCTCCAGCCAGAGGCAGAGCCAGGCTTGCAT